TGATCCGTCTCTTCTTTAGCCGGGATGATGTCATGGTTCCTAGAAAAGATTTTCAGATTTTGATTAATTAGACCACAGCAGTTTTCAGAGAATACTGCGGTGTTTCAGCATCTTGGTTTTTGTGTCGTTTGTCTTTCTTTTCATTACTGGAGGCCAGATGTCCGGCAAAGAGAGATGTCGCATTGGCAAAAGAAAAAGCTTATAGTGTCCTGTACAGACTAGCTAGGCCACTAAATTGTGCTGGAAAGGGTGTGCAGGATGTTAGGGTGATTAAAGATGGAGGTGGAAAGGTGCTAACGAGTGAAGGGAGTGTGCTAAGAAGGTGCAAGGAGTGCTTTAAGGAGCTGATTAATGTAGAAAATGAGAGAGAGAGAGAGAGACTGCTGAGGACAGTTAGTGAATCAGCACATGGTGTCGAAGTGGGTGCAGCTACAAAGAGGTAGATGTATGAAGATGTCTATGAGACTTTTTAACCAGAGTGTTCAACAATTCTGGAGAATGAGAGAATACCTACAGAGTGGATGAGAAGTGTAATGGTACCTATTTTTACAGCACAGGGTGATGTGCCGAGCTGTAGTAACTACAGAAGGATAAAGTTGATAAGTCATACCATTAAACTGGGGGAAAGAGTTGTTAAGCAAGGCTAAGAAGAGGGTGACGATCAGTGAGCAACAGCATGGCTTCATGCTGAGAAAGAGCACCACTGATGTGATATCTGCTTTGAAAGTGTTGATGGATACGTATAGAAAAGGTTGGAAGGAGCTTCACTGTGTCTTTGTGGATTTACAGAAAACATATGATGGGGTATCAAGAGACGAACTGTGGCACTGCATGAGGAAATCAGGAGTGGCAGAGAAGTATGTGAGGGTGGTGCAGGACATGCATGAGGACAGCAAGACAGATAGGTTCAAGGTGGGGGTGGGATTACTACTTGCTTGCAGTGGGGATGGAGTGGCTCACCGGTGAGGTAGGAGTGTCATCTGTTGATGTTTGCAGAGTACATTGTGACATGCAGTGAGAGTCAGGAGCAGGTGGAAGAGAGGTTGGAGAGGTGGAGGTATAAACTGGATAGAAGGGGAATGAAAGTCAGTAGAAGCAAGACTTAATACATTTGTTTAAATGAGAGGGAGACAGGTGTAACAGTGAAGCTGGTGGAAAAGTTAAGATGCAAGCAGCAGGTTAAAGTTTGGTGTTACAGAGAAGGATGTCGTGGATTGGGCAAAATGGAGGCAGATCATCGACTGTAGTGGCCTTTAAAGCCAAAAGAATATTTAAAAGGGACATTTAACTTAGATCAGTGGATTCAGAACTGAACTCTTTTCACTGACAATAGTTTTTAGAAGTCTCTCTGAGGCTTTGTAGTGATTTCCGCTGCTGAATAATGTCTGTTTGTAATTGTTTTTAATGTAGTTCCACCTGTTGGCTCAAAGGACATAACCATTTATGACTGGTTTTCAGCCTCGCACAGATTTCAACTTTGCTAAACTAAACTAACCTCTAAGCCCACACTAATGTTTGAAGAGTGCCTGGCGACATTGAGAGGCTCTTTTTACATCCTGTCCTCTTACACAAATAACTTCTAACACCAATACAAACAGAAATGGTAGAAACAAATGTCCTAAAACCACAATGTCAACCATGTGGAGTTACTAAGAGTCAGTAGCATTAATCTTCAGGTCAACACAAATATCTTTACACTTTAATGTACCTAAACAATTCAACAGTCTTAGAAAGCACATAAAAAGATAGATACAGGAAAATGTCAATAGTGCTGATATGTGGAACATTATTCATTAACAATGTGTGAAAAGGGAAGGTGTGAACAACTGTATGACTCTCCAAATTCTGTTTCAGTTAACTTCTAAGACCGTTATCTTGTTGTCACCTGAGTCTTTTTTACACGTATCCTGAGGCTGAAAGCAGTCTCCTGGAATCCTCCAACAAGACCGGACAGAGATCAGGAATCCGACCTCACCCTAACAACCACAGCCTCTACCTCTCTCTAGCGCACACACAGCCAAACACTTGGGAAAGGTAGCATAATTAACGACTAGCAGCAACAAAACAAGGTGGTGTTGTGAAATGAAATGCTGTTGCTGAAGCATTTACGGTGTATTGGAAAGGATTGGTCTGGGTGGACTGAAAGGCAGAATAATAAAGCTATTTGAGGATTTATACAGGAAGCTCAAGAAAATCCACCAATGAGACTTAATATTGGCTTTACTGCTTCATATTTGAGCGGATATAATGATAGTGAACACACAGCCCTATGCAGAAATATGGACTTAAAGATTTAACAGTCAATTGTACCAAGAACTCAGCAGCAGTAATAGCAACTAAAGCTGTGATCAGAAATGTACATCCAATCATCATGGGCCCAAACTTTGTGGTGATTTTGGTCTTTTAATGATTTCTTTGAACTGTTCTTTTTCCAGGGTGGAATGATTTTACAGCATAACGCATATTAAATGACTTTGAAAAACAAGAATTGGGTGCACAAGTTGCAATCTGCTTTGAATTTTCTCTAATCGACACAGGTATAAAGGCAGGATCAAAACACCCCCACTGGTTAAATGTCCCTTAGCAAGTTATGCGTCAACCAGAAGCTTTTGATATCCATCATCAACCCACATAGCAAAATTGGTATGGTCCGGATCTGGCCCACACGATGTACTTCCACATGGCCCACATACCGCAAAGAATGACGGCCCTTTGGTGGCCCAGATCTGGTTTGCCAGA